CACACACACACACACACACAATGTCATAAATGATGTGGTCATTCTTAATTTGGTAAAATTCTACCCTCACTTTCAGTGCATACAAACTCTTATAGTAAGGCTAAGAACTGCAGAGACATTTTTACACGTGTTCGCACTTGTTGACAGCAGCATGCTGTAGATCCCAGGCGCGTGATAACGATTTCATGGGTTACATGGTCTTTATTTCTGATCAGCAGCATTTGTTCAACGCTGAAATTCCAGAGACACACCCAGACAGACAGCTGACTTCATTGCCCCAGTGACAGTCACAGGAGAGACACGGTGAACAAACAACATGACACACGCTCAGTGCTGCCGAGAAAATGGCCAGTCAAAATGAAACCGAATGCCCGAAAATGCTCCTACACATGCCCCTCCGTCTTCATAACAGAGACTAATCACACTATCATCCTGAAAAAAATCCATCCGAATGACATCATAGTCTGTAATTAGGAGTCTGTAGTCTGTCAAGAGTAGCTGCTCTGGCAAAGCTGCTATGTAGAGATAAAATGAGCTGGATGAGCTTTATCTGATTCATCTGAGTAGAGATGACTACATTCCTCCACTTTAAGACAAGCGTGACACCAAAAAAGACATGAAAAGAAGAAGTCAAATTATATTCACTCCGATCAAGTTTTTCCTCTGGGGTGAGATGGCTTAGGAAGGATGAAATACGGCAATTTATTACACGGTCATTTGGCTTATTTAGAAATACAACACAAGAAATCCCCGATTGGGCCACAAATTACCACTGGCGTCTGAAGGGGAAATAGAATAACTTCTTCTTTTTAAAAAAATGTTAATTCAAATACAGGACTGTAACTTCTCTCTCATTTCTCACAGGTTGCAAACGAACTGATAATAAAATTATCTTCAGATAAATTGATAATGATATTAAACCTCTTCTTCCTGGTGTGGGACCCCCATGGGACCACTGGTTCTCTGTGTATCGACCAATCGGCGCGTTTGAAGAGAAACATACGAGAGCAGGCTACAACAGAGGAGCGCGCATCGCGTAGGGGTGCGCACACAGACGTAGTTGCGACACTGGTGAGGCGAAGGCGCGATACAGCCGAGAGGATGCAGTGAAAAGCCTCAATTTCCCAGCTAATTTACAGCCGGGCAGGGCAGCTATAATAGAAATAACGTCGAAGATGAGTGTGATCCAGGCTGCGCACGACGGCAGGGTGGATAGTGGCAAAGGCAGCCACACTGACAACGCCTGCGGATCCCCACGGCTCCAGCAGTGCGCTCATCCCCCTAACAGCAGCAGCAGCCGGACCAAAGATGCCAGATATCAGCAGCAGCTCCAGCAGCAGAAGCATCATGGTGGGTCGATGCTGAAACAACCATCCTACAACGAACCAGCGGACGTCGTGAGACGGGCGCTGGACTTTAAGAGCCAAGGCACCCAGTGCTACAAGGATAAGAAGTACCGAGAGGCAATCGGCAAGTATCACCGGGCTCTGCTCGAGATTAAAGGGCTGTGCAGGGTTCTGGGGGATCCGGACACAAGCTCCAAGTCACCCTCCTCCCTGCTGCCGACCATCAGCAAGTCCACCACGCTGACGGATGAGCAGAAGGGGGCAATGGAGAACGCAGAGCTGGAGTGTTACAACAGCCTGGCCGGTAAGAGACGTTTCTCGCATACATTTCCCACAGATGGACACAGATTCCACTTATCAGCTGTCTTTTCAGCAGAGGGAAATTCTGGGAATACTCCAGAGCTCATGAATGATTCACTGCCAGTATGAGTCATTCTCAGGCTTACCCCACAATCCGCCTCACTTTCTTTTTAATTATCACTTTGCTTAAATGGTATATTTATTCACCCCTTGGCAAACTTATAATATTTGCTATATGTTTAAAATTTAACCAAAGAATCAGCTGTGTTTTAGTCCCTGACGGGACATATTAGTACTTCAGTAAAATAATACAAGTCTAACATTGGGTCTTGCAGTGTGATCAGGAGTTTCACCCTCTCTCCCCTCTTTTAATCTCTTTCTAGCTTGCCTTTTGCAAATGGAGCTGGTGAACTATGAACGAGTAAAGGAATATTGCCTGAAAGTGCTTAACAAGGAAGGAAAAAACTTCAAAGCTTTGTACCGATCTGGAGTGGCCTATTACCACCTAGGAGACTTCCAGAAAGCCCTGTACTACCTGAAGGAGTCACACAAGCAGGAACCTTCAGGTAAGGATTGCTGGTTCATGGTAAGGAACATTACACCCCGGAATAATATCTGAAATACACGATACATTATTTATGCAGCTTGCTGACTGTGAAAAACATTTAAGGGTGATGAGATGACTAGTAGAGAAAATAAAATAAAAACAAGTAGGAGTCATCCTTCATTATGCTTCATTGCAATTCAAAATGTGGGTGAGATTCAGTATTTCAGTCTGGACCAAATAGAAGATATCTAAATTAGTTGCTCTGAGCATTTAAAGAAACTGAGTTCTGGGACAAGGTAAAAAGACGGCATTAGTGTTATAGTGGCTCATTAGTGTAGTGGTTTATACATTTGCCCAAAAAACAAAAGATCCCTGGAGGACATAAATCCCTTTGGGGTTGTATCAGGAAGGGCATCTGGTGTAAAAAAGAACAAAAACAAAAAACATGCGGAGCTACCTGCTGTGGTGACCCCTGTGAACAAGGGTGTAGCTGACAGTAACTTGTGTATCATGTAAAAGTGTTTCACAGGAACATGAACAGGTGCACTGCAGAGATATTTGTGGACTTCAATAAATAAATAAAAATAAAACAGGTGACCGTTGTGGTATAGAAATGGAATAGCGGGCTGTTGACTGGCACTAAACTGACTTCATGCAAAAATATCAAGTGCATTGCAGATATGACAGTGAAACCACTGAGTGACATGTTTAACATAGTACAGAGTGCTTGAAACAGAGGTAGCTGGACTTCTATTGAGTTCCTGAAGATGTTTCACATCTAAAAGCTGACAGGGTGAACCAGGTATTTGATTAATAATATGAAATTTACAAGATTTTTCTTTTGTATCTGGAGAGTAAAATTATCACTGTGGGCTTTTGGCCTATTTGTGATTCTGTCCCTAGATGTTATTTAAATAATTGGGCAGAAATCTGGTGCCTAAGATACGCACAGTGAATCAGATTTTCTAGCACAACCTTGGCCTTTTCAATGTCGGTGCTTCATTCATGTCACCCAACATTAATCAGAGCTACAGAAAATAACACAGGAAAACTAGGCAAGTTAGGTAATATGACAACTTTAGAGTTTTATTTGTTGCTTGAATGGCAGGTGGGGAAACTGTAGATGAAGAGGAGTCTGCAAACAGCCTCCTTCACGTGGTTAATATCTATTTGTTATGTGTATGTTTGTTTATTTATGTACTAAGCTAGTATGATCATTTACAAAAAAAACACTGCAGATACACAAGATCTTCATATGGAGCTTGTTTTGTTTTTGCACTTCCAAAAAGCTGTGGTATAAATGACTTCTAGCTGCTTTACTTTAATTCCATGTACTACAGAGTTGTGTTTAAATGGAAGATTTACGACCATATTGATGTACAGTTTCCTGTCTGAGCAGGAAATAATTCAGCCTTTTCCTGCCTTTGTTTTCCAGACACCAATGTCATCCGCTATATTCAGCTGACAGAGATGAAGATTCGGAGAAATGCCCAAAGGGAGAAGAAAGAGGCCACATAAGCATTCGCTGTCCGATGACTTCTCTCTCGTCATAAATTTCAGCCCTACTGTGTGCCACCCAGACCTTAAACACCACGGCTTGGAGGTTTTGGTGTAAAATGATGTTTGCTCGCTTTTGCCTTGCACAGCATCTGGTTGCCAGTTACGTGATTGAATTTCACTGTTGTGTGCTTGAAATGTTTATTTATTTATTTTTTTTAATTGTACAAGGTATTGTGTTTCGAACCTCCAATCATATCTAGTATGAATTTATCCTGAGTATGTTTTACCCATTCCAATCTGATGCACTGCCAGTCCAAACATCGCACATACAGGCCATAACTTGTGATGGAGACAGGAGCAATAAAGGTGAATCCAGCATGTCTGCAGGCGAGTATAACTGTAAATTAGCACCTGCCCTCGCACAAGATGTCTTTTAAATGCCTTGGAGTAAATGAGTAACAACCACCTACACTTCTGTCACCATACTTTGATTTTGAAAGCACTACAAAACTCACTTTTTTATACTCCCAATTATACCTGAAGTAAAGGTGCTAGTCGTAAGTAGGTTTAAAACTCAAAATGCTTGGGCAAGGACATCAAGAGCACATGGTTGCTAACTGCGGTATGAGACATATCACAAAATGTAAATAGGCTACTTTATAAAATCACAAGAAGATATCCTGAAATGGTGAGCTTTTTGTGTTTATTAATGCCAAAATGAAGCACTTCACTCACAGCATTTACTGTATCTTCAAATACTGTGTTTACTGTAAAGGTATGGTTGTAATGTGTGTCTATTGATTGCATTATTTTTTGTGGTGCTGCAGCATTGGATTTCTCTTTAGTTTTCCTTTTTTATTTTCCTAATGAGCTTAACTAAATGAATAGAGAAAACATGATGAAAGCACACGTGTAAATCAATAAATGAAACAATGCTGGGTGGAAAGAGTTGACGTTTTTGTCTTGGTAGTTGACATTGTAAAGCATAATGTTAATTTTCTAGAGGGATGGTATCAGGATGCAGAAATCCTGACACTGGCAGTTATTTAAGAGTTAATCAACGCTTTTCATTTCCACCATTTTAGTTGATATGGCTAATTTCTTAGCCCCAGCTTTTAAATCTTTATATATTAAGAGTATTATCATTCACACAGATTGTTTTAACAATACAATAAAGTATAAAACTAACATTTACTCTCTTTTATGGAAAATAAAATTCCTGTGCTTGCTAGCTACCAACTTATTCTATCTGATCTTAGATGCTGGATTTCTGTCTTGTGCCTGTATCAACATTAGTTACATGTGAATCAAACCATTTTAATATATCTGTTTAATGTTTGGCAAAGGGATAGCAGCAATAGCCCATCCTGTAGCATTAGCTGCAACAAGGGACAATGATAGCTTTCCTGTTTTAAAAAAAAGGGTTTGCAAAACTACAGAAACTGTACTGAAAATGTTTGCATAATCACTTAGGAGAAATATTCAGTCTAACACTCCACATACAAAGAATACATTTCAAATACATTTCAAGTTCGTGGCTAATTGGTCACTTGCTAGCAGATGGGTAACAAAGAGTTGAAAACTCGATTTTCTTTCTTCTTTTTCAAAGTTTTAAATTGAGGATCTATAGATATTTTTGGTCAGTTTACACCCTTAGCGGATTGCAGAATCATGTTTCGAACATTATTGGATATTAAGTTACATTTTTCTTAAGTTGTAATTTAATGCTAATGCTAATATACATAAAACAAACTGCTGCTCAGTAATTTTTCAGCAGCTTGTACTTAATTTTGTCTGTTGCTTGCATCTGAGAAGAATTATGGTTTATAGTATATCTTTTTTAATAGTTCCCACTATTTTCTTAGATTTTTAGAACAGTAAAGTTACTGGTAGAGAATAATAAGTTTAAGCTGACACGAAGCTGAGGAGACCCAAAAGCTTGGGCTGCCAGGTTTGTGGGACAAAAGCGCCAGTGGCCACATGGTTGGGGATTATCAGAGTGCATTGGTTTTCATCTGCAATCTGAACATATGCATGAAAGCTTAAATGGTGATTCTAAATTGTCTGTAGGTGTACTTGCAACAAACAAAAACCGTCTATCTCTCTATTTGCCCTGTGATTAACTGATGATCTGTTCAGGGTGTATCCTGCATATCCCGTAAAAAGCTCCAGCCCTACCAAGAACCTATATCAGAGGTGGGCAATTAATTTCCCCAATGGGCCAAATGAGAAACTGGGACAGTTGTAGAGGGCAACACCAATAAGCTGAACTCAATCCTACTCAGTATTATTTTTATCTTATCGGCGCAGCCCTCCACAACAGTCCCAGTTTCTCATGTGGCCCCTTGGGAAAATTAATCACCCATTCCTGCCCTAGAGGGAAAAGTGATTAAGAAACTGGATGAACATTGTGAGGCATGCACAAAGGAAGCTGCAGAGAGTATTACAGCACATTGGGTGTGTCATCATAAGTAGCATCAGCGTGTATGTGCTGCTCTGTTGTTGGTTTGGTATGTTTTGGGTATATATTGAACATTTCACATAAAATCTACATATTTTTTACATGCAAAATAGTTCACTGGGATAAGCAACACAATTTACTCTTGAGCTACTCAAACCCTACTGACTGGCCTAGTGAATACACGCTTGTGTTATCATCATCATGGCCCATAGTCACATAAACAAATGTAGAGCCTTAACAAAGAAATACTGATCCAGTTAAATAGTTTACTATGATTTTACTCAAGTGTGTTCCAGTGCAATACAAATCAGTCATTAACAGTATTGTTCCCAGCATGAGCAACAGTTCAGCTTATTCGTGGTAACGTTTCAGACATGACACCTTAAGTTTGTTTCAACTACTGCCCATAGTTGAAATACCGTGTTTCTACATTGAGCATGAGCACATTCTGAAAAAGCATTCACATACACAAGTACATCGGGTCACACTTAGAATAAAGAGAGCTGAAATATAAGAGGCCACTTAACATTTGGAAATAAAATGAGAGAATCAGGCATTGAGACTGAAGTCAGAGAATATTTCTGTTCATTTTTTTCCACATAAGTGTTGCTCTATTTTAATGTGGTGGATTTACAGTTAATTAACAGGATTATCTTCTGGCAGAAGCACAGTAAATCATTCCCTAAATATCTTTTATTTTGTTATAAACTGCCCTGTTCAGGAAATGAAAACAAGTAGAATCTGTGAGGAAAATCCCAGTTTAAATGCATTAAGCACCTATTTATTTCAAAGCTGCTACCTTGTTATTTTTCATTTAATAAAATGACTAAAAATTGTCATCAAATTAATTTTGATATGTAGCTGTGGTCATGAAATCTGTTGAATAGTGCAACATCAGAACAGACCGAGTGTTTATTTGCACAGATACTGAAAACCCTAAAAACATTTATGGAAATCATTAATAAGAGTCAGAAGGCAAATAAAACAAATTATATAAAAATAAATCATCAGATAAATTAATTAATAAATGCAATGAAATAAACGCAAATATAAAAATAACCGAGGCTAAACTTCCACATGCCACCAGGGCCTGATTGAAAGTGAAGTCTTTCATCACTGAGGCTCACATAACCTAAAAGCCACTTTGTATCCCTTATTACATCATCTTCCTAATCAACAATTTATGAGGCAGACAATTTACAGTTACAAACACAAAGTTCCCTTTTTAGTTTGGAGAAATGTTTCTCTTCTGGCTGCTCTTGCAGGGTTACACCAAATAGTAGACAGGAGAGGGAATGGTCTCTATTTTGAACCCAAGCGGTACTGACATTCTTCTTTATGGTCACCATACAGAGCTCGAGACGACGTCAGACATTAGTTAACGGAGACCGTTTCTAGACTGTAGGTTGCTAATACAAAGAAGTGCACATATTATACTAGAACATCCCCCATCACTGGGATAGTGGAAGTGACTGGTGACAACAGGTGGTCAGTACAAAACAGGAATCCATCTGCCATGAGAACAGGAGTGGGTGATATACATGTGCAGAGGATTTCACATAACACAATGCTTTTACAGACAAGCAGAGCCAGAGGTTTTTGATAGTGGGAAAACCTGATGCTTTACATTCATGATGCTTTTCAAAAGTGCACTTTATTAAATGCACAATCTTTAACTCAATCTTAAAATCAACACAAGTATGCAAAGCTTTATGTAGGTGAAAGCCATTAACGACTTTAGTCTGAAAGAAAAAAAATAAATGACACATGAAATCTTTTTCCTCTAATGAACAATCGAGCAGGCTTGGGTCAGATTATATTTTCAAATTCTTTTATTTTTTTGTTTGAGTAGTTTTGGATGCAAGATTTAAAGATTTACTGCAACAAATGCCAGAAAGGGAGTGTTTTCACAGTAAATATCTTCCTAGCATTTACGACCACTGTGTAGATGGAGAAAGGTGAATAAGTTCCAGATTGCTAACTGACCCAGATTTGTGGTCATCCAAAAGCTAACAGCAGGTAGAGTCTCCATGTTGTGTTGGACCAGTGAGGGTCAGGCTGGGTTATGACCAGAATCCTGGTTTGTAGCGGTAAGGTGAGTCTTTAGGAAGACTCGTCTCTGGTCTGCAGAGCGGGATTGTTCCATCCCGATGCTGTCCCTCATCCAGCTGATCCAACAAATTTTCATTCCGGCGTGGGGAGTACGGTGTTGGGGCCTCCATGGGTGTGGGTAGCACTGTTGAGTCTCTCCCGAACTCTACGGTGGGTGGAGTCTCTGTGCTTGAGGTGTGGGCAGGGGAGTCGCCATTACCTAGGGTCTGTCCGTTTCCCCTGGGCCTCGCTTCTGCCCAAAACACATCGGAGCGCGCTCGTGGTGAAGGCCGAGGTCGTGCCACAAAGTCCAAGGTTTTGGGGCGTTCAGGAGGACAGCGACGGCGGGGTGTTGGTGGGAAGACAACATTTGGATTGGGCAGCCGAGGGACCTCTGAACAGTCTTCTTTTAAAATTCTGAAGCCACCTGTTGTAGCAGAATAAAAGTTGGCTAATTGGTTGGCAAAAAATTTGGATATTATTATTAAATATCAGCTATTGGGAAATGATTCTAAACAACATCATCCGGTTAAGGATGCTTTACCTACAGACTGGATATAAATGATGGACATAGCAGAAATGCTGTGACTCACTCATTAACTTAGCTTGAACAAGACATTATGAGGTCCGACTGTGAATTCACTTAATCACAGGAAAAGTTTTTACTGAGGTAATAGAGCAATGGCGCAGGTTTTTAGACTTTGCAACAGAAAATCTTTTAGCAGCCACACATTTTTCAGAATGCAGGCAGTATATAGCTGCAATCTAGCATCTCTTTGCAGATTTGTAAGCCACATCCACATTTGTCTTTGGTTTTACCTACTCAGAAAACATTTAATTAAAATAAATATGATTGTTTAAATGTTGTCTTTTCCACACAGAATTTACGTTTTTTTTTTCAGGTAATGGCTAATGCAGTGATCACAACATAACAATAGCAACATGCTGGTGTTGATGCTTAATTAACACTGTTAATCCTGATTCTCAGGCTTCTGTCTTCCTTACATTTATGTTAGACATCATGGGAACCAGAAAAACAAATCCAATTAGTCCACAAAACATCATCCATCCATTTTCTTTTATCTATGTAGTTCAGACTTGGGGGAGGCTTGGAACTTAACCCAGTTACCATAGGGCGAAAGGTGGGTTACACCCTGGATAGGTCGCCAGTCTGACACAGGGTTAACATAAAGAGACCGACAACCATTCATGCTTCAGAACTGAAGAAGTTTCTCAGATGAGAGGAGAAACATCTTCAAGAATCTTAAAGAAGTCCAGTCGCTTTTCTTTTCAAGCTCCTTAGACTGCTAAGACCTAGATGACTGAGAACCTGCACAGACCATTCATACTCACAATCACAACATGGCAACACAGTCAACACTTTACCTGCGTTTTCTAATGTTGTTTTTTCTGGTAATGGCTCCAGATTATTAGGTGGGCAGCTCTTCTTGATGGCTCCGTCTGATGGTGTTCGACGGAGGCTGCGTGAGGAACTTGTGGTGCAGGGAACATGTGTGGGTGTGAGCGACTGGCGTGGGTTGCTCTTGAAGCTCTCAAGGTGTGTGTTGACCAGTGGGTTGATTGGAGTTTGG